CAGATGTGGAGAAGAAGCAGGATCGCAAGAAGAGCAAGAAGAGACGGCTTGAGAATGATGATGATGAGGAGGGCAAAGAGGTGAAGGAGGAGGATGCCGAGAAGAAGAGAAAGAAGAAGAAGAAGAAGAGTGTGTCGTTTTCGGAGGACGCGAAGAAATTGGATGGTGATGCGGACGATCAGGAGGAGGAGCAGGAACAGGCTCAAGAGAAGGATACAATGCAGGTTGATGCTGAGGGTAATGGTGATGATGATACCGGGGATAAGGCTGATGATGAAGGCGAGGGAAGGAAAAAGAAGAAGGAAAAGAAGAAGAAGAACAAGAAGCAGGACGGTTCGAATGATGCTTCATCCACCACGACACCGAGAATCCACGAAACGCCTATCCTTTCCTACCTGAGTCTGTACCACAAGCATCGGTCGGCGTGGAAGTTCCAGAAGAATCGCGAGACGCATCTCTTCAAGCATGTTTTGTCGCTGGAGCAGGTCCCGACACTGTACAATGCGGCTTTGCTTGCCTATTTGCAGGGGTTGAAGAGCGAAGGTGCGAAGTTGCGGTTGCGACAGATTGCCGAGGAGGTCATCAAGGCGGAGGTTGATGCTGAGGAGGATCAACCTAGTAGTGCTCCTGCAGAGACGGAGGAGTCGAAGGAGGGCTCTTCTTCTGAGGCCAACGAGAGCACCGCGGCGACGGATAAGGCCAGTTACGACAAGGCTGTTGGTGTCTTCCGGACACGCTTGGCTGCGGGTCAAGAAGATATCGATTGTCAGGATGTTACTGCGCAGCTCAATGCGGAGACACTGAAGAAGTACGAGAATAGGGCACGGGCTGAGCTCATTCTGTTTGCTGTTAACGGCACGCTGTTCAATTATCACAAGCCCAAGCCTGCTGCGCAGAAAGGAAAGAAGGGGGCTCAGGCCCAGCCTGGCAAGAAAAAGAAGAAGAACCGTACTGCTATCGTTGAGATCTCGAGCAGCAGTGAGAGCGAGAGTTCTAGTGACAGTGATAGCGACAGCGACAGTGACGATGAGAAGAAGACCAAGGCTAAGCCTGCAGCTGCTAAAGCCTCGTCGTCTAAGGACAGCAGTGACAGTGATAGTGACAGCAGCAGCAGCAGTGATAGCGACAGCGATTCGGATAGCTCAAGTTCGAGCGACTAGCTGTGATGCCACTTTTGGATTGTCGGGTGCTCGTGCTTTCGTATATTGGCACACCCTATCAATGACCTGCTGTTTGATCATTATGTCACCAAAAAAGCGAGATGTTTATAGAAATTATATAGAGCATCATGTCCAGTTATAGACATTGCTATAGCTCGGTCAATCACAACTCTGGTAGTTGCCTAACTGCTATTGCTAAATTGAGTTTCATCATGATAAATAGTAGATGAGTAGACTACTCATAGTATAGTACTTATTTTGTGGATGCAAGGTTCTTTTAGTGGACCGATTCTATCTCTCTATGACAACAGCAGCCGATAGTCTCTTCCCAGCTAGTAAGAGTGACTTCAAACCGTCTGGTAAGTTTCCTAGAATAAATATTAGATCACAGCTAGGTTGGCTTAAACCACTCCATTAAATTATATCATGATGATAGTACTGAACTAGTATATATAGTATGAAGTTGCACCAAGATCTAAGTACTAATCACCGGTACTAGTGATACTGCACTAAACGGATACAACAAGAACATCCGGCAGACAACATGGAAGACACAAATCTCAAAGTATAAAGTCGAGAAGAATAATTTCTAATAGTTGAAGAAGAACTTAATATGTAGTTGATCGTTGAGCGACGATAGATGAGCGGCACAATGATGAAGCCGTGAAGGCGGTGACGCTGGAGCTTACTCAAACGGGGACCCAAAGCTTAGAGCTCCGGCCAGGCACCCTCTGGCACGCGTCCTCTGCTAACGTCCCTCCTCCCTCGTCCTTGATCCTTCATTCCCCCATCTCGATTCCATTTTCGTTTCGCTATAAGACTAGTTAACTTCCGTTGTAATCTCAAATCGAGTTTGATATACCACCGCCATCATGTCTGGTGAGACTTTCCGGACCCTCTTGACTGAACCGGCTTCCATGACTTCATCGATAGACTGACAAACTCTGTGATCAGGAAGTGCATATGACAGACACATTACCATCTTCTCGGACTCGGGTCGTCTGTACCAAGTTGGTAAGTGACCCTCTCTTCATTAGCACCGCCTCTCCCCGACGACCTTCGAAGTACTCCGATCACGGACCACGTTAGACCATCAAGACCGCCTACTCACCATTGATGCCCTCGGCGCTTAGAATATGCCTTCAAGGCTATCACCTCGGCCAACATCACCTCGATAGGTGTGAAGGGCAAGAACTGCGCTGTGGTTCTGTCCCAGAAGAAAGTTGCTGTAAGCACGTCCTCGCCGCCCGAGACGGCCTGTCGGTCATCCTCTGATAAACATACCAGGACAAATTGATCGACCCCTCCTCCGTTTCGTACATTTTCAGACTTTCCCCGTCAGTGGGCTGTGTGATGACCGGCTCCATCGCCGATGCGAGGGCCAGTGTTGACCGTGCTCGTGGTGAGGCGGCTGAATTCCGATACAAGTATGGCTACGAGATGCCCTGTGATGTCCTCGCAAAGCGACTTGGCAATATCAATCAGGTCTACACGCAAAGGGTATGTGTCACCTGCTTCAAAAATCTTGCCCGGGACATTGGCTGATGGATCACGTTCACCCTCTAGGCTTACATGCGTCCCCTCGGAGTTGCCACGACCCTGGTATCCGTTGATTCGGAGAAGGGTCCCCAGCTTTACAAGGTCGATCCTGCCGGATACTATATCGGATATAAGGCGACTGCATCTGGACCGAAGCAGCAAGAGGCGATCACTTACCTGGAGAAGAAGCTGAAGAACAAGGAGTACGCTGACGGCAGCTGGGAGGAAGTGGTGGAGCTGGGAATCACGGCTTTGAGCAATGTGCTGAGTGTTGATTTCAAGAAACACGAATTGGAGATTGGAATCGTGGGAGGGCCACGAGCAGATGGCCAGGAAGGGACAGACATTGGTTTCCGGAGTTTGACGGAGGAGGAGATCGACGAACGACTGCAGGCTATCAGCGAGAAGGACTGAGCTGGATTTCATTGTTTTTTACTGGGAGCATCCATGTTGGTAGACGCAAACGATCGATGAACATCATTATTTTTCTCTGATGCCATGAGCTGGCCTGTGTCTGACGAAACTCTATTCCCCCTCCTGGTCGGTTGACTTGCTTTTTGCACCGCTGCTGTACTTGACATCCAAAACCTGGAAAGCCCCCTTGCAGCTACTGTAACCGGGGCTCCTGTATCGGAAAGACCCGTCGCCTGTTCTTCCGGACTGGTGGCGAATATGGGGATAGACAAGCACGGTGCGATAAAGTATGGTCTTTGCGATCTGACAGGCTTAGAGAGGGAAGTTGCTTATCTGCACGTTCCATGCTGCAGCACTTGTTACTAAAGAAAGGAACGGCGGTACCGGGATTATCGATGCAAAGCAATGGCAGACGTCTACTGCTATGAAGTTTTGAGCGTGCTATCTGCAAGCTTTAGCCCTCAATGGGAAAGCAATCTCTCCGGGCTAGCGTTTTGCACTGAAGCAACGTTGACCATACTCATTGGAGGAGCATGATGAAACTTGCCACCGAGGAGGTCGGGACGGAGATACTACTACTACTTACTACTAGTACTGTTCGTATCCTGCAAGTAGACGTGAAGTGACAGACAAGGAAGGAGAGAGCAACAGCCCCGGATGAACGACGGGAAGGAACTAGTAGTATTCCGTAGTATGGAGTAAGTAGTAAGAACCAAGTCAATGGTGGATTGCGCGAGTAAACTTCAAGCCTGAGGCTGCGGTGTTTGCTTTTCCATTTTCAGCTGGTTTACTCGCCTCTTTGTGGCTGAGCTGGAAGTTGTGGCTTTCGCGGTTTCTTTTTGGCCGCCGTTCTATCTTTGTCCATTTTGCTTCTTTTTTTCTTTTTCTTTTTTTTCTCTACTCTTACTCTTGACGCCCTTGCCTGTTCGCCGTGGGACCGAACGGTGCCTGAACCTAAACCGAGTCAGTGTCAAAGCCAAATCCTTGCGAGGATTTCCCTGCACTGGTACTCGATTATTCCCTTCTTGTCGATATCTCCGTCCCAACTTGCAGCTGATGTGAACTATGAATTGCTAGGGTGTGGCGTTTACCGAGGGTGGATGACCCTCATCCCAGCTGGCAGTAACTCGCACTTCCCACTTACTTTTTTCTTTTCTTTTTTTTAGTGTGTCTTTTGACAACCTAGAGTCCCGCTACTTACTTACTAGGATTAGTACTAACTAATCATGCCATAGATTGATGGTCCATCTGCTCATGCTTGCCCGTCTCCACTCAGTCTGCAAGATGAACCAAGATCCAGCACTTTCCCCTAAAACCAAAAAAAGTCAAAATATACTAAAATAAATCATAATAAAATTTTCATTGTGGCTTTATCGGTTTTACCCACTGGTGTGGTCCTTCTGTGACACATGCGGCGATGTATCACCCTGTCCACCTTCTCCACCCACAAGCCGGTGGAGTCTCTCTCTCTCTCTCTCTCTGCCCGGCCCCAGTCTTGAATATCGTTTCTAGTGTTGATTTTCTTTTTCCAATATTCCCACCCCTGCGTTGACTGCTATCACCGGTTGCCGTGACCCAGTTTTGTGTATCTCTCATTTCCCTTATGCATATGCAGACCCATAAGCATTGATCCCCCTACCTGGACCAGCTGCTTAGCGTCGCGCTTAGATATCAGCCTTAGATCCATTCGCCGTGGGTGGACATCCCAGGCCCTTTCGGACACATGGCTCTCATGGGGCCCGTTTCCTACTATTGATCCACAATGGGTGTCATTATCCAGCTGCAGTCCCTAGCTGTGATGTCCTCCTTTCTCCATCAGCGTCCGTCAACGCAGCCAGCCACTACTCATGATGATGATCCTCTTTCACCATGTTCCCCATCGCCGGGCTGATGGCCCATGGTCATCCAAAGTATCCATGGCTGAACGTTAAGCTTAAAAGGATATCCCACCCTCGGCCTTCAGATAGTAATATCGTACAAGACATCAGAGCTCGACTCACAAGAATATAAAGGTCGCCTTGTCTCTTCTAGTCAATTGACTTGACCGTTACTCTAGCACACTCCATTCTTTCTCTCCTCTTGGATATAGTTCTCTTTAGTGCCTTTTGTTACACCTTTCATCACCTACATACCTTTAATCACTTTTCGGAGGTAACTTCAAGTTTACTACAATTGCAATGGCTGACGGACGTAAGTATTCGACTTCTTCACTTTACCACACTACCCTGGAGTCGTCAATGGCATTGACATGTTATAGTCAACGAAGCACGTGCCCTGCGGGTGGCCGAAATCATCAACGACTACCGAACTCTACTTGTGCACATCTCTCAGCAGAACGTCCAAATCCCGAGTGCAGAAGCCAACGAAGAGGGCTACAAGACGATCAGAGAAGGCCTGGCTGCCGCCCAGGCATTGATGTCGTCCAACTACAATCCCAGCATGACGCCTGCTCAGTCGAACGTGGAGACAGAGAAGGCGGAGTTGCAGAGAGTGATTCTTGACGCCAGCGCCCGTCGCTTTCAAGCCCATCGTATCTACCTTCGCGTGGCAGCCGCCAGAAGATGGGCTATCAACCGTCAGAACATCCTGCGCGGACAGCAACCTGGACCTCAACACGCTGCTCAACTCAAGACTGTGAGCAACACGTTCCGACAGGTGAGCAAAACCCTGAGTGTTACGATCATTGAACCATTGGCTGACCCTGAATACAACAATAGGAAATGGCTCAAGTGACAGACCAATACGTTGTTGCTGATCTCCGGGCTGCAGACACGCGGGCAGGTCATTGGCTTGCCGACGATCCTTCCCTGCCAGTGATCCTTACCTGGATCCGTTCTCACCCATGAATTGCTGGGCTCACGATGTGCAACTTACTATACACCTGATTCTTTCGGGACGACGAGAAGTTGTTGTGTACGGATATATGATGTTCTGAATGGTTTTCGGGCTTACGGCACCAATTTGTTTGGTTATTTCGGTATACCCTTGATGTGGGCGGTTTGTTATCCGCAATTTTGGGCGCAGGTCGCTCGTCATGTTCTGTTTTTGGAAAAGAAAAGCTGTTTGATTCCCTATGATACGCCTATTCTGTTCGGTTATACTTTTTCTTCTTTGCATTGGCTCTTTTCGGCTTTCATGTTGATCTGCTACTTTGTTCGGTTTCTCTTCATGTCATGATATCCCCCTTGAATTATGGCTTACGCTAGATGCGATTTAATTGGATGTCCCCCGCGAGGGTCAATTTACTCTATTTTTGTTTCTCAATGTGCTTTTTTTTTTTTTTTTTTTTTTTTTTGGGTAATTATTCCCCTAAATTGCCTTGGAGTTGCTCTCGAGCAGCCAGATTATTTTGGGACTATCGATGCAAGTATGCAACCAAAGGCAGGGATGTTGCTGCCTTAGCGGTAGACTAGCGCATCTCCGACACTTTCCTCATTATTGACGGATCAATTTTCCGCTCTGCAAAACTGAAGCGAACAATCAATCTATCGGTGATAGTACTTGTTAGTCCTTGGCATGTTACGAATCTCTCCTCCTAGCCGAGGGAATTGGTACGACTAAAACCAACCACATGGGCAACGGTCTACTTCTGCGACACGCCACAATGATGTCGAAAGAGAAGGATGATGGCGCGTGGCTTGCCAGTCGTTTCCTGTCAAGCAGTCGGCAAGCCCGCGCTGTGGACCCGACGGGTTAATGTGGAGAAGGGGGAGAATTTTCGAATAATTATCCAGAATTTTTGAAACGGGAACCTTTGAGTTTGCTCGGAATAGTAATAGGTTCCAGTTTGTCCACATGGCTAGGGTTGATGCGGGAAACGGCCTACCAGCTGAATTGCTGGAGTCGAATTTTTCTCATTGGCGTCCAATTTACCGTGTCGAGGGGCGAAACGCTCTGGCCGGAGCGACAGATAGACACGAAACGAGATCCTCACGTTCGACTCATCCAATGACAGCCGCCGGAGTTACCGAAGTGCTGGGTCGCTGCTAAAATCTTGGGTGCAGCTGGTCGAGGACATCCCAGCTGAACTTGGATGGGGCGGGGAGGATCCATTGCTGCATGCGCCCGGAAAGCGAAATGGAGATGGGTTGGAGAAAGCAGAAAGTCAAAGAAAAAATAAAAACTATTAGGGGACTAGCCTCTGACGCAGATGCACGGCGGTTCCCTTGAGATCTGTCCATTCTTCTCAACCAGTTTGGAAAAAAAATTTCATCGCAGGTCAAATTCTGATTTGGCAGATCTGCTCCAAATTGCAATGCTGGTGGATTCAAACTGTGGCCGTGCAACCGTGCCCTGCAGTAGCTTAAAGTCCCACGCGCCAATCAGTGCCCCGGCCGTGCGGTAGAGGCAAAGGTTTCAGCTGAGAAGGTCCAGGAAACTGATCCACTCGGTCGCTTTCACGTTCTTAACTTCTTCTTGATCTGTTTCCTGGTCTGGTTTAGGGCTTTCAGTCACTGGCGAGGCGGGGATCCCGTCGGACTTGCTGCCGCTCACTGATCATCTTTCCCGGATGGACCCTCTTGTTTTACGATCAAGGTGATGACTACGTATCCTGGTCCTGACTAATTTAGTTACCTATCTATCTAGTGACTGGGAGTTGATGTCCCTTTCGGTCGTCGATGGGTCCCCAAACCTAGGCCACGAGGTTGCAGGATTAGTGTCATCTGTCACGTTCGGCCAGGATCCATGGTACAACCGGGAATGCTCATTCCTTAGTTTCGTTCCTCTCATTCGACCGTGCCTCGACAATGCTTTCTACTCGTTACAGAACTAATAGCTACTACTACTACTACTATGGTTGCATCTACCCCTGTCTCCCCGTGCCTCGATCTTGACGAGGATGAGATCGGTAATCGTGATGGTCTTTACAGTCCAGAACAAGCGAGATGCATCATGCGCACGCTCCCACCTCGCATCCTAATTACTTGGTCTGATCGGAACAAGTCATTCAATGCTCCCTTACGTGGCCTATACTTTTAACGCTTCATCACAGAGCACTGGACCATAGAGTTCTTGCTACTTCGATGTTACCCACGGTCATGCCGGACGTCGGGAAGTTGTAACCTCAGCTCCCATGATATCTCCGGAGACGTGAACTACCCCGAGATACATCATGCGCTTGGAAATTTCCCTTAGGAATGTCATCTGAACTGAGATGCACCAGGGACGATCTATGCAAGTCTGGGGATTGGATTGTCGAACCAGGGTCCCTCCCCGATAGCCGATCTCCTTGTTCTCGTGACAGATACTCAGGCACAGATCACTTGAGGAGTTTTAAGCGTCCCCGCCCTGTTCTACCCGGTCTAGTCTCATCTAACCTCCCCGAGAAGTGAACTATCAAGGAAGCACACGATATAGTGTCGTAGCCATGGAGCCCTATACTGCCAGGAAGACTATCTTTTACAATTCAGAGCATGGCATGGTCAGACAAGAAATGACCGACGCCACCGACGGCACATCTTGTGTTTCAAGAGGACTTCACAAGCCGAACATGACAGTGTTCTACTCACCGAATAGAGATATAAATTCGAATCCTTCCATTAGACTCCTGGAGTAGTAGTAGTAGATGCCCATCAGCTTCCTGAAATCCCAGTCAGCCACATTTTGATGATCACATAAGCGCAGACCACCTGTCTCCTGCAGCCACAGTTGCACCGCCGCGATTGACTCTGAGCCAATCAGAAGTCTGAATTGCTGTTATTTATATAGTACTACTTAGTACCATACAGGAGAGGTGACCTAAGGCAGGTACAATCATCCCACCCCCCTGCTGCATCGTTCATTCCTTCCGACTGACTCTTCCCGGGTTATGCTTACCAGCCTCTTGCATTGCTGGTAAGTGCTTTTGATTCTTGCCGACCATGGCTTTCTCGCGATTGATCCACTGTCTCGTACTTTTCATCGTTGTTCTTATCCTTTCTGCTCGGTACTTTTGGAATGACGCAGCTGTGCTTCCGCTCCAGCCCAATCCTGCACCTACTACCGACACGAACGCTACCATCCCAGCCATGTCTTCTGGTCTGAAGTCCGTGGCCTACTTCGTCAATTGGGTGAGCATGCACTCGATCTTGGCTGTCGTATCCCAACTCGACATGGGAGGCAGTTCCACTCGTATAATAGTAATTCTAATGCCAATGCCTAGGCGATTTATGGCCGCAACTACAATCCTCAGGACATTCCGGCCGACAAGCTGACTCATGTCCTATACGCATTTGCTAACGTTCGCCCGGACACTGGTGAAGTGTAAGCTCTCCACTTCTCTGCAGCACATGGCTGATCACCCCCTTGCCACCGGATCAGCCGCACTGACTTCTCGCCACAGTTATCTGTCCGACACCTGGTCGGACATTGAGAAGCACTACCCCACAGACTCCTGGAATGACGTCGGTACCAATGTCTATGGCTGTGTTAAGCAGTTGTTTTTGCTCAAGCAGCAAAATAGGAAGTTGAAGGTCTTGCTCTCCATTGGCGGTTGGACCTACTCTCCCAATTTCGCTCAGGCCGCTAGCACTGATGCTGGCCGCACTAAGTTTGCTGAGACTGCAACTAAACTGGTCACTGATCTTGGATTCGATGGTATGTGACTGATTTGTGGCAATGCCTGGGACATGATTCGCTAATGCTGGTGATTACAGGCATCGATATCGATTGGGAGTACCCCAAAGGTTAGTTTCTCGGATTGTTGGGGAGATGAGTAACCAGTTAGGTGTGGATACTAAGACGACTACCTACAGATGATACAGAAGCGCAAAATATGGCCCTTCTGCTTCAGAAGTGCCGTGAGGTGAGCTTTCTCCTCGATCGTAATGCGCGCACGCATGCACTAACTTTGTCTAGACTCTGGATGCAACTGCTGGTGCGAACAGGAAGTTCCTTCTCACTATCGCTTGTCCAGCTGGTAAGTGGATTATGTTATTTGTTTTACTCGGGACGAGACCAAGTCAGACCCAGTGAATGCTGATCTCATGTAGGTCCTGCTAATTACACCAAGCTCAAGCTGTCTCAGATGACGCCATACCTGGACTTCTACAACTTGATGGCCTACGACTATGCTGGAAGTTGGGACACTGTTGCTGGTCATCAAGCCAACTTGTATCCCTCGGCTGACAAGCCAGCGTCGACGCCATTCTCGACCAATGAGGCAGTGAACTACTACATCCAGAAGGGTGGGGTCCCCTCGTCCAAGATAATCCTGGGAATGCCGCTGTATGGGCGTGCCTTTACCAACACTGATGGACCCGGGACCGCATTCTCGGGGGTCGGACAGGGAAGCTGGGAGCAAGGTGTTTGGGACTACAAAGCGTTGCCCAGAACAGGAGCCACTGAATATGCTGATGCAAATCTGGGTGCATCCTGGAGTTATGATCCCACAGCACGCACCATGGTTTCCTACGACACTGTGGCCGTGGGCGAGATGAAGTTGGACTATATCACCAAGCTTCAGCTCGGCGGTGGCATGTGGTGGGAAACCAGCGGCGACAAAGGAGGGAAGACGGCCAACAAAGCTGACGGCAGTCTGATTGGAACCTTCGTGGAAGGGATTGGAGGCGTGTCAGCCCTCGACCAATCGCAGAATGTGCTCTCCTACCCTGAGAGCAAGTACGACAACCTGAGAAACGCATTTCAGTAGAGCGATTGATACCCTCATTTATCTATCAGTTTAGTTGAGCAGGCTTTTCTCATTTACATGAGGTTTGTCTACGTATTAGGTAGTCTGAATTGAGAGCGGTTTCGAATTTTTTTCATTTCTCATTGCTCGGGCACTATGGGACGATCAAAGCGCACACGTCCCAACCTCATCCACCACACATTCACGACCGACATTGCTAGGCGCTACCGGAAAGAAGACATGGCGAAACGATCGACTTCGTCCATTTATTTGGACTCGTCGAAGACGTAGGTGAGGTGGCACTTTCCGCAGTACTGGCGGTTGTGCATAGCGGCCATGAAGATACCAGCACCGCACTAGGAGATCCAAAGTTAGTAAAATGCGCCAACAGCAAAATTCAGCCATAAGGCGGAATATTAGACATACCTCGGGGGAGGGGCACTCGCGGCGAAGACGCTCGATCTTGCCATCACCGTCGACCTTGTAGTACTTGAGGACGGCAAGCTTGGTCTTCTTGTGCTTGTGCTTGATCTTCTTGGGGGTGGTGTAGACCTTCTTCTTGCGCTTCTTACCACCACCACGCAGGCGGAGCACCAGGTGGAGGGTGGACTCCTTCTGGATGTTGTAGTCCGAAAGAGTACGGCCGTCCTCGAGCTGCTTACCAGCGAAGATCAGACGCTGCTGGTCGGGGGGGATACCCTCCTTGTCTGAACATCATCATTAGAATATGTTCTAACTGGATTATGTAGGCCGTGTGTGTATGCTTACCCTGGATCTTGGACTTGACATTGTCAATGGTGTCCGAGGACTCCACCTCGAGGGTGATAGTCTTACCCGTGAGGGTCTTGACGAAGATCTGCATCTTGATGAAGGTCTGGTTTGAGGATAATTTGTTAGTTGGATATTCTACTGGTTTTTTTGAGCAAAGATAGGAGATGAACATCATCGGCGTTTCGCATCTCATCTTCGTTTCTTGATCACATATTTTCGCCCCAGGATTTTTGGTATCTTGCGCGCTAAGTTGTGCACACGAGATATTTTTCTGGAATATGTGGAAGAAAATGAAGATGAGATGTCGCAGATAATATTGAATCCCTTTTTTCTTTGTCACATAGTAAAATGTATAGGGGCCTCAACTCACCTCGACAAGACTTGTCTTCCTAAACCTTCGACGATCGTGGTAGGAAAATATCCTCGGTGGTGGTGGGCTTCGTTAAAATCGGTTGTGCGGTCACGTGACGCCCATATTACCGAGTCGGGCGTAGTGCGGGTGGACCACTCGGATAATCAGCCCTCCGGGGTCCTCGGTCATGTGATGACTTGCGGCTGAGGTCACGGGATGTTGATGTTGCTGACTGATGACTTTGACAACGGTTTCTTGGATACGTCAGTCTTTTGGTGCCTGCATCGCCAGGCAGAAACACGGCACGGAAAAGCCAGGCAGAAAGTACGACTACTAAGACTAAAACTAACTAGACTTGGTGCAAAATCCAGCCTCGCAGAGCATCGACGTCAACTTCGTCATCGTCATCATTTGCCCGCCCATCCCTCCGCTCAGTTGCTAATTATTGATTGAATAACATGCGGATAGGAGTCAATTATTAAATGGGCTATTGCAGAGGAAGGGTGAAATAATGTTTCAAACCCTCACAGGCCACAGGTCGCCTCCTCCCGTCATTTATAAGAGGCAAAATGTGGGATTAGATCGATAATGGAGATAGGGTGGTTGTCTGGACCGCTGGTAGAAGCCAGGCGAGAAGCAACCTCCTTGCAGGTTGCAACTAAACCTGCCGGATCGTAAGCTTTAATTGTGTTCGGACCACTGGTTGCTGCGGCGGGCTGCTAATGCTCCGTGCTGGAACCAGGGCGCGATCCACTGCGCAGGCCAAATCGCCGGGCTCCATGCCAAGGGGCGCTGGTTTCCCTGACGCCTCAGCCGACCCTGTTGCTAGGCCAACCACGCCATTGTTGATCTGAACCGTGGGCGATAGATCGGGATAGCTTCATCATCTCCATCCACCTTTCCCTGGTTCCCACCTCTAAATACCTTAAAAGACTTCCTTGGTTCTTACCCTCCCATCTTCCCACTACCAATTCGCGTTGCAGGGAGGCTTCTTATAAGGGCTTCGATTGCATCTTCAGTTTTGCGACTTGTCCAGCGCATTTTAGATAGCTGTCGCAAGAAATCTTCCTTTGCATAGATCTAGTGCAGAGGCTGCGTTAATTCCTTAACTGCTGCGCTTGCTTTCGTTCTCTCTTCTGCGTCTTCTTTAACCTTTTTTTCTTCCTAGCGTGAGTGTTCTAATTGAGGAGATCACCGACTGACACCACTGCAGGGCGGTTCATTACCATCTTGTCGGCCCAGCCGTGTGGCTAGTATTGCGTGAGGTTGGTAACTCTCGGTGCTGGATGTGAATTCTTTGCACAGTAAAGCGGTGCAGAAAGCTTACGCATTTAAATCCTCTAGATCCGACCAAACACCAAGGTCTGTCAATCCGTCGGTCAAGCACCTTGCGATAAGCGCTCGAAGAAAGAGTTCCTTTTCGCCCATCATGCTGTCCACGGCGCACAGCAACCTCCATGAGCGACATCGACAACACAGGCGGCAGATCTCGACGCCGTCCGCTCTTGATGCCGTGAAAGCCCCCAGTCTTCCGGCGCAAGCGATGCATCGTTATCATGCCCATCGTCGGGGACAGAGTTTTGACAACAGAGCTTTGCGTGTCCAGCGATCGCAATCCATGCAAGATGGTACAACTCATACTACTAACACAACAGTACCGCAGCCGCATCATCCGAATATGCTTGGGGACAGCCAACACCAACGATACCTGTGTGTAGCGCAGCCGTCGTTTCCCCAGCAATCAGCTCCCATGCCCGTCATCACCGACTGCTTCACCCCGGAAGAGGTGCAAAACCTTCAAAGTCACAATGGCCAGGATAGTCAACCAAGCATGGCCTACCTGAATGCGCCCTTCGGGAAGGACGTTCCGCACATGAACATGCACTTCGACCTGATGCAGCAACAACAGATGCACAGCGCTAAGGTTCCGTGCGGATCTGGAACGGAAGGTCAATTTTTCGAGACGGGACTTTGGGACTTTTACCAGCCAACTTTTTCCGGTCAAGCTGATGTAAGGAAGTTATCGGTGCAGTCGGAAGCTACTCCGTCTCAGCACCCGCATACGCCTAAGCACGGCAATACACGTATGTTTATGGCTCGTCAGGTCTTTACTAAGCGTAAGATACTAATGCATTGTGCAGAGTATGCACCGATTACACCAGCGACAACACCATTCAAGCAAACCGTGGGCCTAGCCCAGTACGGTGGGGACATCCAGTCAGGATCCACCAAAGACCAGGGTAGCGCGATGCCCGGATCAGCCCAGTCGTCGTACATGCAGCGAGCAAAGTCTCTCCAAGGCGTGGCTGGAACTACTTTCACGCAGCAGAAGTTTGATGTGTCCTCCCCCCCGAACACAGCATCATTTGAAGTGGATAACTTTGATACCTTTAACTATGAGCAGGGTTCTAGCTTTGAGGTTCCTAAGTCGGAAAGTCTTTCACAAAGCCAGTATGCCTCGTCGTCGTCAGCATCGTCATCTTTCATGTCATCTCCCGAGCTTGCGGCTATGCCTTGCCCCGAAGACGGTGCAAAGACACCAAAAGTACCTATTTATCCTGCCACCCCCAACCGTCCGCACCACAGGAAGACGCCCAGTGCAACACCTAGCTCAGCGGCCAAGCCGAAGCTTTCTCCCCGCGTCGCATCCATTGATAACTTGAATCTCGACGCTCGCGTACAAGCCTCAATCAAAGAAACGGGTGTCACCATTGACGAGATTGCGTCGTATATTCACGGGCCTGACCCGGAGGACGGAAAATGGGTATGCCTGCACCCGGGCTGCGAGCGCCGCTTTGGAAGAAAGGAGAATATCAAGTCACATGTGCAGACCCACCTGGGCGACCGCCAGTACAAGTGCGACCATTGCAACAAGTGCTTTGTTCGGGGTCATGACCTTAAGCGTCATGCCAAGATTCATACCGGCGACAAACCCTATGAGTGTCTATGTGGTAACGTGTTTGCGAGACACGACGCCTTGACTCGACACCGGCAGCGTGGTATGTGCATTGGCGGCTACAAGGGCATTGTGCGCAAGACAACGAAACGGGGTCGCCCGAAGAAGCACCGACCAGAGATGGATGAGAGGCAAGACAAAGCATCGAGAACACGCCAGAGGATCGCAGAGAAGTCATCTTTTGACTCGTCCATATCCGACTCCTCACGCAACACGCCTCCTTCCGAAGTCTTCGAGAACATGAGTCTCCACGGCTCTAGCCCGGCGGAAGAGATGCCGGTGTTCAACAACCCCAACTACTCGTTGCCACCAGAGGTTTTCACGTTCACGCCTCCTGCATCTCCCGGATACAGCGTGGGAATCAAGCCGTCGCCTTCTCGGGACGAGCGATCGATTACCCCCAGCTCAGAAGACGAAATGCTTCCTTCCTCCCCATCAAAGCAGCCTCTCGAGAGCCTCGTCACGGACTCCAGCTTGCCCTACATGTCTGATCCGGAGACATGCCCGTACACAGATGCTTCCGGTGCTGCCAGCCATTCTCTGTCGTCGCCCCATGCCGCTCCCACCCTGTCTGAATCATCTAACGGATCTGATCTCGACATCTTTATCAGCCAAGATTCGACCTCTAGTTTCGGAAAGCCCGAATTCGGAGACCTGGCTGATTCTGACATGGCGCCATTCCCTGACTATGTGAACACGACATCCTTTGAAGGTGGTCTGGAACTGTTCCCCAACAAGCCCTTCTCCTCGGGCCCCGTCATGGCCGACGACTTCTTCTTCCAATTCCAAGTGGACGAACAAGCCTCGGATGTTATGACCAAAGAATTCTTCATGGATTAAAGAGAAACGACCACAACGGAACAAGAACCTAAATAACGACCGACAAGAAAGATGACACGGAAAACGAAAAACATCAAACGACCGGCGAACTTTGACGATGCAACGACTCAGGCTTACCAGCCGAATGTGCAAGACTTTTAACGATTTAGGACCGCAAATGATTTTGAACCCATGCATATAAGACGCGAAATGATTTTTATGCCTTTTCTTCCCTTTTTACACTACGACACGAGAACCATGTACAATTTCCCTCCCTCATTTCACTTCTACGACCAAACTCATTTCAACGACCAATTTTATCCACTGCAAACTGATGAACTGTGACAACAACAAGAACAACGTTTCCAAAAAGAAATATTGTTTTCGGGCATATGAACTTTCTGCTTTTTCTCCTTGGCGCTTACTGCATTTGACTTTTATGCTTCTTTCCCGCTCAATGACACCATGTACGACCACCAACCAACAACCATTCTGAACCCCCGGGATTTATCTGCAATATCTTGGGAGATTTTTTGTTTGCAAGAAAAAATGACTTTTCTATGTTTTCTGGCCAGTCAAATTATGGAGTTTTTACAGGTCGTCCGTTCTTTTCTTTATTTTATCTGACTCTTTACGTGTTGATTGATCTCGATGAATGTTTGTAACGTCTTTTCTTTGTCTCTTTGATGAAACCTTTTATGATGTTATGCTATGTTATTGAATTTGATTTTGTTGCTTTTTATTTATTTCCTTGTGTCATTTGGATTTGCCTTTAACTGCTGATGAATTGTGTGATATGTGAACGAAACGGACGAACGGGTTGATCTGTAAAAACTTCTATCTTCTTCATCTTTTATGCTACTATTGCATCTTTGTTCTATTGGCTGGCATTGCAAAACAAAAGTCATTTTTTATACTCTCCTTTGGTTTGGTTGCTGACGGATTTACTTAATCGCCTACTTACCCCTGCTATCATCAATTTTGTCTTGGTGGTTTTCGCATGGCGCTTTCCCTCCTCGCCTGTACTTTAGCTTTATGATAGAACTGACTGACTCCCCATGAATGTCAATGATGCTTGAATGGATTGCTCTGTTTCTTTGTATAGTTCTATAGGTTTGTTTCATTCAAAATATAGGTAGTACTAGTTAACAGTGTGTATGATTTGTATAGTATGCCAGAAATGCAAGATGATGTATTGGAAAATGTGCGATTCTATGTGCGTTTAAATGTTGTATATGGCAGCAAGAGCAAGTAGGGAAAGAGAAAGAAAGTGGA